TTTATTTTAAGTATAATAAGTGGTTTAGAAATATTTTTATTTTTAGTTTTTATTATTATTTTTTAATGATGAAAATTTTAGTATGACTATTATGATTATTTATATGGCTTAATCTTTTCTGAAAAAATAAATTTTTTAATTACTAATAATTTTAATACATGTATAACATAGCTTAATAATTTTTGGTTTTAATGTCTAGGCAGTTACTACTTACACCACAGGAGTTGTCCCTAAAAAGCAATGTCAAGCTAATGCAGCTGCATATGCTACTAGTTCTGCTATGCAACAAAAAGTTACATATCCAATCCAGTCAGCTTCAGTTGCTTCAAATCAAGCTACTAATAAAGGTATTATAGGAAAATTTAATTTAAAAAATATTTGAAATTATTTTTGAAAATATGATTTTTCTAGCACCAGCTGTTCCAGGGTATGAAGCTGTCTATTCTAATACAAATTTTCCCACTCAAAACCAAAATCAAGTACGACCCAATAATGCACAAAAAAGACAAAATTGGTATAAAAAAAGTACTACTGGTTTTGCTGGAGGTGCTAAAAGTAGCAACCGGTTAGGTTTTGCTAGTCGATCTCAGGAAATTCATTATTGTGAAGTATGTCGTATTAGTTGTGCAGGAACTCAGGTAATTGTATTCAGATATATATATTTTTTTTTTTATATTGTATCACTTTTATTGTGCACTTCTATTAGACATATAAAGAACATCTGGATGGGCAAAAACATAAGAAACGTGAAGCTAATTCTAAAATATCTACAACTAATGTTGGCAAAACTTCGAATAATCCTGCAACTAAAGTATTCCATTGTGATCTCTGCGATATTTCTTGTACGGGTGCTGATTCATATGCAGCACATTTGAGGGGTTCAAAACATCAGAAAGTAAGTTCCATTTCTTAAAGTATATTATAAATATACTTAAAAATAATATAAATTAAGTATTTTTAATGACTGACCCTGAGTTTTCTGTAACATAATGTCAGTTTTAAATATCAGAATTATGTGTAAAATAATTAAAATTAGTTTTACATATTAAATTAGATAAATAAGAAATAGTATTTTGTATGGATCATAAATTTAATGATGATAAAAATACTATACCCAGCTCTCTGAATGTATGCATTTGAATACTTCTATGTTGAGATTAATATCTGATAATCATTGATCCTTCATTAAAATTTATATCAAATAATATTAAAATAAATGTATATTTATTTGTTGTAAATTATTGTATTAGTGATTTTTAGATGTTGTAGAGCAATTAAGATTAACTGTTTACTTGGAAAAGCTTTTTTGTGATATTTAATTGTTGATAACTTAATCATTATATGATTTTTCTATTTATGCACTTCATTCTTAAATCTTTTTGTGGAGATAATTAATCTGAAAGTTATCAGAAAATTTGTTATTTTCATATGATAAAATGAATTTTATGCTCAGAAGAGCTTAGAACTTTTAATTTTTTGGCAGTTAATGTTATATGAAAGATTAAAGCTATAAATGTTATGAAGTTTTATTGTTTATTTAAGAACTGATATTGTAGCCTGTTTATTATAGTATTAATGGATGTTTGTTTCAATTTAATGATATAATTTAACTTAATCAGCTTCCCGAAAGTATATTCCCGAGATAATGATCTGAAAGTAAAACATTTTTTCTTATGTATTTTTTCTTTATGTTTTGTTAACTTATGTTATACATTTGAATACAATTTGTATGATTTGTTGATGATAATACAATTATTCTATACCTAGCTCTCTGAAGATTTTTGTTGATATTATTTTCTGATTATTTATTTATAATAAATGTGAGTATGTATTTAAAATATGTAACTAAAAAAAATTCTGCATTTATTAATGTACTTTGATTTTATTTTCTTAACTGTCTTGCACAAGTTACATGTTTATATTTTTAATTTTATGATGACATCGTTTTACTATACCCAGCTCTCTGAAAGTATATTGCTGAGATAATGATCTGAAAATTGTTTACTTTTTCTATTGTTGGGTTTACCTTGTATTTTGTTAAGTTCTATATTTTAAGACTATGCTTAAGGTAATTTATATTTTAAACCCAAAGAGAACTATGTTAATATTGATAATAATAGTTAATTTTAAAAGTATTAATGTAAATGTTAGATATATCAAAGTATTGTTGCTAATTTATTATTTTTTTAGGTTTATAATTTGCACACAAAACTTGGTAAACCAATTCCACCACCTAATACTGAAACTACTACAGTTGTTTCAAAAGCAGCCACACCCAAAGTTCATTTTGTTGCTTGTATGTATTACTTACTGGTTTAATGCTTTTATCATAATGTTTTTAATATGATAAATGTAGTATAAATGACAACAATTTTTATAATTAATGTCGGTTATTGAAAATAATTTTTTAATTATTGTTATGCATTATGAACTTCTTGGAATAAAATAATAAATTTAATGTAATTATTATATAATAATTTTTTTAGCTGGAAAATTGGGTACAGTTGTTCCAAAAATAGAATCTAATGTATCTCCTGTTGTTACTGTTAAAACTGAAACTAAATCGTTACCTCCTGTAGTAACTCCAATTACTACTGGAGAAACTGATGTTCTGCTTGTTGGAATGGAATATATAGAAGAAATAAAGGATGAAACAGGTATGCATACATATGTTTGTATATAATCTTCTCCTTGGTATAACTATCGATTTATTCCCAATATTTGTATTAAAATATAAACAAGAAATTCTTTATTTTTGTAATATACACAACATTATCTGTAGAAAATGTTCTTACTAAGACTGCTTGTTGACATTACTTTAACTAATTAATAACATTTATTTTGATTATTCCTTGCTAAAGACTTGCCTTAGACAGAATATTCTGTTTATTAAATTAATTTTTAATCGCTTAACAATAATTAATGATTATTAGTGTTCAAGGCTTATTGCACATAAAATTGTTGGATACATGCATTTAAAGTGACTGAAATACACAACCAAATTTTTTTACAATAGCAATTAAAAACTTAATTTTAATTTTGATTTATTACATTTTATATGTAGTCAATTTTTTTTGTTAAGTTATTTTTTTTTACTAAAAGTTATACTATAATATTACTTAGTATGATAACATTTTTTTTCGTTTTCTTCTACATCAAAATAAAAGTTTTATTAAAAATGTAAAAAATATATGTTAACCTTTAGAATAAATGTATTCACTTAAAACATAAAAATAAGTAAATATGCTTTAAATAACAATTAAATTAAAATATAAACTTCTGTCTAATATACATTTTCCTATAAACCGGGAAGAAATATGCAATTTGAATTTTTGTAATTCAGTCATTTATGTCTTAAAACAAATTTATACCTTTCTCAGATTATTCCAAAGACATTAAAGAATATTCAAATACAGCAATTCCTGAATCCTTATGATTTTATATTTTAAAAAATTGTGAAATATAAGTACACATAAATTATTATAATTATAGTATTAATTATACTATTATATATTTATAATATCGTATAATTATAATTAATTTTAACAAACAAATAAATTTTGTTATTTATCTTTAGGTAAAATGGTGAGTTTCAACTGTAAATTATGTGAATGTAAGTTTAACGATCCCAATGCCAAGGAAATGCATATGAAGGGTAGAAGACATAGGCTTTCTTACAAGAAAAAAGTGGATCCTAGTCTAATAGTGGAATTAAAACCAAGTTGGTTTGAATCTCGTAGAATGCAGAAAGATAAACAACATGATGGTTCTAGAGTTAGAGATGAAAGGTAAATAATTCTATTTATGTATTAATTGTATTATGTATAGTATAGTAATAAATAAGGCTAGGATTTATATGTATAAAAATAATCAAAATATGTAAATAGAAATGTTATAACAAATCACTTTATATGTAATAATAAAATGAAAAATTGGAAAATAAAAAAAATTTAAAAAAATGCTTTATAAATGACAAAAATTGAAAAAAAAAATAATATGGTATTATTGTAGTAGTGTGTTTAATTGGCATCAGTTATTAGTAGGACTTGGAAGTTGAACATAAAAGTTTTTGAAAAACACTAAAAAAAATAACAAAATAATATGCAAAAATTACTTAAAAAAATTACAAATATTTGTTTTATAAATTTATCAAAGATTTCAAGATACATAAAAATCAAAATCCTTGCATTGTACAATTAGAGCGTATTTGATGTTATCAAAAGTACATGAATGACGATTATCTGTTTATAAATATTTATATTTGGAAAAATGTCTCTACGTCCACTGAAGCTATTGGGAGACGCAGACGAGCACTAACTGATGTTTTAATTTTCGGCATTTCAAAAACATTAAAAAAAATTTTTAATTATTAGATATTATAAGTATTATTCACTATGATAAGATTATGACACGACAACTGCAATCTGCAAGATAAAATTGGATTGTTACTAATCTTAGACCGTGGTAATTTTCAAGTATTAAATTATCGGCATTTTCGGTCAACAAGAAATTATCAGAAGTGAACTAGTGTGAAATTATTAAAATGGACTACAAATATCCAAAATTGCGTAATACATCAACTTCCTAACTTCCTAGTTCTACATTTAATATTACTGTAAATATATGGTAGTAGAAAATATTACTAAAAACTGATACTTCTAATTGGAGTGTAAAAGAATAGATTTTATAACTTAAGATTTGTGATAGTTCCAATATTTTTTATTTATATTTATTGAAAATATTATCTTAGTGATGATTTAAATAGATGACGAGTCTGAATTGAATTTTTGAATCTAGAGAAACATGTTTTTTGTTTTTAAAGGACAAATTTTCTTTTAATTGATGTCCGAAAAATGCTGATAGATAAATGAAGTTAACTTACAAATTATAGATATATAGTTAAAAATGACATAATAACTTTGATTATTTTTTGTTGAATTAAACCTTAGTGATAATATTTATATATGATGATTTAAATAGATGACGAGTCTGAAATGAATTTTTGAACCGAGAGAAACATGTTTTTTGTATCTTAAGGGCAAAATTTCTTTTATTTGAAGTCATTATTTTACTGATATATATTTGTATATATATATTATTTTGATGTTAAAATATTATGATAAATCAACTTTCTAGTGTTTATTTGTCATAATTAAAATTATAATTAAATATTTTTTTAGATCTAACTTTTGGGCTGATCGTTTTATGGATATGGAAGATCGATATTCATGGGAAGATCGTAGGCGTTATCAAGAAGAAGTGGAGTATTATGACTGGTGTAGGTCAATGGGTCCAAGAAATATGGGTCCACCACCTCTTTTTGGTCCTCCTGCTATGATAGGGGCTCGACCCCCTCCTCCTCATTTGGTATGTAAACTAAATTTTCAATTTTAAAAGAAATATTTTTTTTATTTATTTAATTTCAGATGAAATTTGGTCTTGGTATGAGACCTCAAATGCATAACTCAATGCGACGTTATGATACTGTTGATGACAAACATATTATGGCTAAACACTCTAGTTTGTTCCCAAAGCAGAATTCATTAAAAACTTTACAAAAAGCCATCTCAGACACAGAAAAAGCATTGAAACTTGCTGCTGAAGATTTAGTTAAAACTAGTGAGTTATTTTTATAAATTATTTCATTGGATTTTGATATAATAGAATTATTTATATAGCTCCAGAAGTGATTGTTCCAGTCCCTGAAATTCAAGTTGCTGAAAATACAGATGTAAAAAAAGAGCAATCAAAGAAAACCACTACAGCAAAAGAGGATGGTCGTGATGGGTCAATGTAAAATTAATTGTTAACATGTTTTAATCTTAATTATTACACATAATTACTATTGATTTAGGTTTACTTTTAATACTGAAAAAGATGACATTAAAACTGTTAAGAAGATGACTGGTTCAATGCGAGTTGGAGCATTATCTAAAGGACTTTTATTAATAAACGAAAATGATGTTGATCTAGTAATCATATGTTCAGTACCACCATCTGTAGCATTATTAAATTCTATTGTTACTATTTTACCTGAAAAATTAAAGGTGAAATTTATATTATAATATAAAGTTGAGAAATTTTTTGAGCTTTCTGGTTTTCCTTATAGATTGTTGCTAAAGATGAAATTTATATTGTCAATAAATGTGAAGCTGATGCAAAATTAACTGTTGAGACTACTGTAGAAGAAGAGAAGTTTGTTGTGAATGTAACCCTTACATCACCATCAATAAGAGAAGCTATTTTAAGTGCTGCCGAAGGAGGTAAGTGAATTTATTAAAATTAATTTTTAAGAATATAGGAATTTCTAAAATCATTAATTATATAGTTATTCAATACATTGGGTATTGTAGCCAGGTATGTAGGTATTTTAGGAAAGGTTATAAAATATATATACATATGTTTATGTAAATGGCTTCAAATTAATGTTAATGGTCTGTTAAAATGAGTATGTTCCAAAATGTTACACCTATTCTTTGAAAAGGGTTTTTGACCATGTGGTTATAGTAATTCTTTTGTTATATTGATTAATTTCTTGAAGATATAAAAAGATAAATATTTACATTTTGTGGTATAAAGCAAATAAATAATATAAATGAAAATTTGAAAATAATATATTTGAAAAATTGTTTTTGTTATATATAAGTATAATTTTTATTCTTAATAAATTAAAGATTTAATATCAATTATATTTTAATACATTTACTATAAATTAGTTGAATTATATTAATACTAGTGAAAAGTGAGTAATTACAGCTAATGTGTTGATCATTGTCCCATCTCATGGCATGTGCAACATATTGAATATTTTGCAGGATTTATTATAAAATAGTTTTTGTTATATAATACCTTATGATTTAATTATTAACATAACAAAAACTGTTATTCAATGGGTTTTTCATTTTAATCATGTTTCCTAATAGTATTGTATTTAAATTATTGCTTACTTTTTACTTGTAAAAAAAAAAAATACTTTAAAAGACATTGCACATTTATAGTATTTTTCATTATAATTTTTATAACAATAATGTATTTTTTAAAAGTATCTGTGTATTATTAATCTTATTTATATATATTTACATTGATTTATTTTATTTTAACTATGTCTTCCTATATATTCTATAATGTCCTATTTGTTGAGAATTTAATTAGGCAGTCAATTTAATTTGTTATGTCCATCCATTAATTGTCACCGTCTTACAGTCGTTGCCAGATAAATTGAGACGGCGGCGGCGGCGGCGCGATAACGGAAAACCAGTGGTCCTCCGTATTTCAATATTATTACTGAAAATATATCAATAAACCAACTATTGTTACAAAAAATATTTTACGATATTAATTTAAAATCATATATTCCAATATTAATTTTTTATTTAAGAACAAAAAGTAGAAATTGTAAAATAATATAATTAATATAATAATAATACATAATATTAATATGATGAAATAATAACAACATCTATATGCATTATTATAAACATATATTGTTGATACGACTGAAGTGCTTGCGCGGTCAAAACACACCGGGTTAGGTTAGTTGTTTTTAGCAGTGTAGGGCAACCAGAACGGGAGAGAGAACAGAAAATTCTGCAGACAATTTTTTGCACTAAGCCAGGTTCGAACTGGTAACTGCGCACGTCGTAGCTAACTGTGAGACTTTTGCACCACACTATCAGCGACTAGTTTGGGCTACACTTAATGAAAAGCGCCGCCGCCGCCGCCGCCGCCTCAATTTATCTGGCAACGACTGTACAAGGACTTACTAAATCATACTTATTGCTATCAAAGTGTGCTTTGAGTATAGCGATGGGCATGAAATCCGAAGATTTGAATTTTCTGAGTATCCAGATATTCAAATCTAGATTTATGGGTTTGTTTTTTATATGAATTATAATTATTTTTAATTTCTAGTAAAATCAATTAAAATTTAACAACAATTTAATATTATGTTTTATGAAGTACAGTTTATATATCATGACAGTTTTTATTATTTATTTTTAGTTACCAAAACAGGTTATTAAATTGTTGAGTTTATTTTATACCTCTATGACTTACAGTGATATGACTGAATATTCAATTTACTTATCTGAACTACATAACCTTAAATGTGAAAATAATAATGAGTCATTGAAAAGCAAAATTGAATTAAATAATACTGTTAATCTATGAAATTCAGATATCACTAGATTAAGGAAGTTATCTCTTAGTTAATAGTATATTTCTAGTATATTATAAATGTTGATATATAAATAGCTAGTTTTTACTGGATTTACCTTACATAACATTTTTTCACAGTGAATTTGTATATTAGGTCATTGTTATTATTTTGAATGAAAAATTGCATCATTAATAATGTAATTTGTTGAAACGTGTAGAAAAATATGTTAAGTTATGAAATTTTATTAAAAAAAAAAGTTTTATTTGGATAGTTGCGATCAAAATTCTTTAAAAGATAAGTTTATTATTAGTTTTAATATTAAGCTGCTATTCAATTAATTAATGCATATTTAAACTGGTGTAAGAGTTAATTTGTGATTTTTACATAGTTGATGTTTAAATTAACATAATCATAATACAATTTTTATTTAAAAATAAGTAATCTGTTTAATCGGTATTCATTATACTTAGATTAAATATCTATATTAAGAATCAGATAGACAGTTAAGTTTATATATTTGTATAATTATGTTAATGGTCAAACACTCTTTGGGAAATAACATACTGAGCACATTTTTTTGTTTTGTTTGGGGTTTTTATTGTAGAAAGCCAACAGACGGAACCAGTGGCCATTGTGCCTGGCGAACACGTTTTGGACAAGACAAAATGTTTGGAAGCATTGGCTGCCATCAGGCATGCCAAATGGTTTCAGGTTTGCCTATTTATTTATTACTTTCCAGCTTAGCGAAGTTTTATCATATTTGCCATAAGTAAATATGATTTTTTTTAAAATTCTTTAAATTAAATTAAAATAAATATTTTTTATTGTAGATTTTAGTATTTATGTTTTGTGTATATTATATACATATATTTATTGATTGTTTATACTTGAAAAGTACACAAATGTATAATCGTGTGCTTTGCGGGGCACCTTTTAACTTAAAGTCAAAACCAGGGCGGTGTCCCTATAATACACGAGTGTACAAATGAGACGGATGTGTGCGAATGTATGTATATGTGTATGTGGGTATGTGAGAATACATAATATATATATATGTATATATATATGTACATATATGTATATATTTAAAATCGAAAAGGGATAAATATAAAGTTAGTGAGAAGATGAACATATTGCTTAATTTTTTTCCTTATCATCATTCCTTTTTATTTTATATCACATTCATACTTATTTTTCCCCTTTCAATTTATATCCAAAGCATTATGATCTAATAGTTTGTATTTTATAGATAATATTGAGGTTCAAAGTATTAAGCACACATCCTTAGTAATTCGGTATAAACTGTTATTTTTTGAATTTGGATCGAAATCATAAATAACCGAATGTGTAAGGCTGGAAAGTACAAAAAATATGCATATGCTGCTGATAAATGTGTGTTAGAATGTCCCATTTCGATTACATCACATAATGAGAAAATATTATTCACATTGTACTACATATCTTGGAATCAAATAATTTTATGAGATGAGCCAACATTAAATTATTAAAATTATTTTATTTTTTTTTTTCCTTAGTTTTATATTATTAAATTCATTTTATTTTAATTATTTAATTTTTAAATCTTAATTTGGCTCATTTCAACTACAAATATTTTTTAGCTAATTTTAATATAATTTTTTTAATATTTTAGGCTAGATTGGGTGTAATTGCTAATGGTCCTTTGATAATTCGAATTTTGAAAGATTTCATAATGAGAGAACCTAAATGGCACCCCTTTACTCCATGGGTAAAAGTAGAAAAATTATTTAATATTTCTGGTTTTTAATATAATTCATCATATTTTATAGATGCTGGAACTCTTTGTTGAACGTGTATTAACTAGTGCTTTTCCACCTAATTCACCCAATGCTGCTGCAGGTTTGAGTCCTGCTGAATGTTTAAGACGTTTCTTAGAATCAATTGCGAGTGGTGCCTTACTGCCAGGTGCTACAGGTATTCATTTAATTGATCCATGTGAGAAAGATCCTATTGATGCTTTGGCACCGCTTACATTACAACAGCGAGAAGATATCACACTTTCTGCTCAGGTATAATATTAGATTTAATTATGTATATTATTATTAAATTTAACTGTTAAATTTATTTTTACTGAGACTTTAGAATTCTAAATATATTTTAAAATAAATTATAATTATGATGATTGTTTTTAATTCAGCTCACTCTGATAGATTTATCTTATTGATGCAAATTACAAATAACATCTGATGAGATTTTGATTTTAAGACACTAATTTAACTGAATTTTAAATTTATTTTTATTTTTATATCACTACGACTAAAATATTTATGACCACCATTTAAAATTCATGTCAAATTAGTTATGTTTTTCATTACATAATGTATTATATTTATATTAAATAATGTTTAACATAAAAAGTTACCTCTAATGATGATTGAATTTAACCTAGCTCATTTTGATTGATACTGATGCTAAAATAATATCTGATATGATTATAATATTATTTAAATATAGTTATACATTCATGTATTATTCCATATTATTATGATGATTTTTTTAACTCAGCTCACTCTGATAATTTATCATATTGATGTAATTTAATAATATCTGACAAATTATTTGTTTCATAACATTTTTATTTTTAGAAAATACTCTTTTGCTATGATGAATGTCTTATTTAACCTAGCTCACTCTGATAATTTTGATATGATGTAAGATGACATATCTGAGCTTACAATCATAAATTAACTAATATGTCTTATATTATTTTCCTATACAAGTATAATTATTGAATAATTATTTTATAAGAAATTACATTTATAGAATGCATTGCGTTTGCTAACATTCAGACAAGTTAATAAAGTGCTTGGGATGGAAATGCTACCTATCAAACAACAGCGTTTTACTCGCAAACGGCGTCGTGAAGGTTCAGCTGGAGAAGGAGTGGAAACTGATGATGGTATGTGTTTTATTATATGATTTTTGATCATTTAATGTAAGTGTTATTGTATTTCTTAGTTGGAGAAAATAAGAAGAAAGATAAAAAAGAAGACGATAGCACAAATCAGACACAAACAAATGATATTACTGATGCTTCTGATGAAATTTCTAATGGCATTATTTCTAGTATGGAAACTGAGAAGATTGATACTAAATAGTGTAAAAATGAACTAGTCCTTGTATATTAACTATTATATTTTTATGTTAAGGAATTTAATTATACTTTTTAACTCAAATTTTCTTTGAGATTATCATTTCTCAATTATTGACAATTTAACTGTTGATTGATTGTGTATACTCACTTTCATGTTTTATTTATCGTAATTCACATAAGTACATACAATAAAGGATATGTATTTTCATTTTAATTTGTAATATTATTTTTCTTGGATATTATTATTTTGTTTTATATAATGCATAAAATAGTTTATATTATAACAGTGGTATAATTTACATATTTTATATAATCAATAAACTTATATTAAATTTTAAATAAACAATTTTATTATTAAAAAAATAATATTTATTGAAAAAAAAATACAAAACCATGTATGTTAATTATTAGATTCCTTGTTTTCAATTAAGATTATTAGAACTGTCAGACATTTTACTAAGTGCAATAAATTTTTTTTTTTAATTTTAATCGGAACATTTTAGTATTTTATTGTTTGATTAATTTCAGATGTGTGTTTAGGTAGTTGTTTTATTAACCAACAGCATTTTGTATGTAAAAAAATATTATGAAACATGTATATTAGCTGTTCTTAAAAGTCTTATAGTTTTACCGGAAAATATAATACTAATATTTGTTGATATGCAAATTTTATTTGAAATCTTATATCATTACATTATTTATAATATTGAATTATGCATGTAGAATGAATTGTCAAAAAACAATTATGAATTTGTATGTACTTTTAATAGTAATGATTAATACCATAAAAAAAAAAAGGAGAGAGAGTTAACATTTATTTGTTGAAGATGTATGTATGTATTGTAGCATTGTCCTCAATACTGATGTTAAACTTAAATGTTTTTAACTTAAATTGTGGTTATATTTAGGTATTAAGCCTGTTTCATGATTAATTCTAAGGCGAAGGACTGATTGTGTAATTTTAAGAATCAATAATTTGGCAATATTATGTTAAACTTTAAATAGAACAATGTATTAGTAGTATATTCCTCAGCACATTTATCTATATAATTAATATTTTATGGAAAAAATTGAAATATATAATCCTAAAAAGATAAACAACTAAAATTGTATTCTTGTAGTTAACTGCTTACATGTAATATTTCATGTTTATGAACACTTGGTGCGAATGTTTGACCACTATGACTAATTGAGAAATACATGGCGATTTTGCAGATGTATAGTACTTGAAATATGATAGTGTATGTATTTAATCCTTTTGAACAAAACATTAATGACAATGGTAGTGAATAATTCAAAATTACTTGTTCATAAATAGTCATTTGGTCAAACTTAAATAATGATTTATGTTTTTGGTAATTTTTTTGAACATAATATTTGTACGTTTAATTGCAGTCAGGTTTTTGATAGGTACTCAGTTTCAACATTCAATAGTTCGTGTATGGATAGAAAGTAATATCATCGTTGCTGTGTTTCATCAAAACGAACTATTGATAAAAGTTCTTGTGTTATGTGTTGCTACTACGTGTACTTTTTTTTATCGAATTAGACCGTTTTTAATGTTCGATTTTTAAGGGTTTCTTTTTAAGATATTTTATTTCGACATAATACGTTTTTCCTTGTGAATTTCGAGTGCATGTCGAGGAACTAATAAGGAATAAACTATTCGAAATATGCAATGTAAATAAATATCCGGATGATATCATCGAGCTGTATCATCTCATTAGTTAGTGGAAGAGGGGTTGGGTTGTGGATGTAGATGATTATGAGTATAGCTTATAGGGAGTATCTGTAAAGACGCTGCTGAGAAAAAAAGTTATTCGGTAAATCCTGAAAAGCTTTTATATGTTTTATTTTTTTCAATGTTTTTAAAAAAAAACCTTAAAAATAAAACGTTTATACGTGCGAAAACCGTTAACAATCACGACCGAGTTCCGCTTTACGATTTCACTGAACAGGCGCGACCATTGATTTACGGAATACAAACGGGAACAACAGCTGTCAATGGTTTTCTCGGTTTCAGGACTGAATGTGGCCGGCTAGCGGCGGGTCATTGGTGTCGGTGTGGTTGCCGTTGTGGATATGCAGTGTCTGCGAACATGCATGCCCGCACGGGGGGGGGGGGCAAGGGGGCCATTGTCATTAGCGCAACTAGGGTAAGAAATCTGGGGGGCTACAGCCTTCCTACCAAAACTTAAAATAACCTGTAGATTACTCCTACTCTTATATAGGTACCATGTTAATATATTTTAGATTCTGAGTCAAGTTGGATTTACTGCAATGTGTCTTTTTTTTTATGTGACACTAATGTGAGTTAAGTATGCTGTTTTCCGTATGCCATGTATTACATGGAATATTTATGGATAGGGGGTTAAATCTTGGTCCCCCCTAGTTGCGCCTATGGCCATTGCCCCATTGGGGAATTTTTGTTACAAAACTGTTGTTAATTTAATATCACTTATATTAATTAAAACATAATTTTATTGAGATCCATTTATGAAGTTAAGTAAAATTTCTTATATTTTTAGGTAATCTAAAGTGTATATTCTTGAACGTATTCATTAGTTTACAATGTGTACACATTACTGCATATCGCTTAAAACTATAAATTCTCCCGAGTACCAATTTCCATGGTATTTGATTTTGTTCTCATCTATTTTTAGATATACGTTGTTTTGGCTCTTAGAAATTTAATCTTGTCCCGGGTGGGATTTTATCCTGCGGATGCACTTATCTGTGAACGTTACGTGGTGCAAGGACACACGGACTCGAATCTAGGGGACCGTAGGGGGAGACGATTGTCCCCTTTAAATCGGTAGGCGGGTGGGTAGTAGATTGACACCCGATGGTCGGTTGTTAAACGACAATAAGTTCACATCAATATACTTACATTACGTGATTATTGTATTGCGCGAGAGTAGAGACCAATTTTTCTACTCTTCTATCATTGAATACTTTTGTTTCTCCCACCCTTATAATTCCAACTAGTTTGTGGTTCTGCAGGGACGGTGAAGGTTTGTTCGAAAACCGGTTGAGGTGGGCGACGGATCGCCACTCGAACCGCTGGCCCGCAACTACGAGCGTCGCGTCGATTGGTTCATGACCTACGGCAGGGACTAAAATTGTGTTCAGATCGACACACTTTGTATAATACGAAATGTTAAGTGTGTTGTGGTTCTATTCTCTATGTTATGGTATTTGTTTTTAATTTTACTTTTTTTTTATTAAATCATCTAACATATTTTTAAAATTCCAAGATGTATCATCAGTAAAATCTTAAATACCGACTATTTTAACTGCGTTACTCATAACTGTCAACGTTCGAAAAGGGATTATGGCAAAATCCTTAAGTGTGCAGTATGAAAAACGATATATTTTAGCCTCTGACCTACGGTACGCAGTCATGGGCGAGCGCCGGGCCCGTCGAATGCGGTTGACTGTAGAGCTGCGGTTGAAACCCTGTTCTCGTAAAGTTGAACAAGCGGACAGAGCACGTGGTCGTTACCGGTCTTGACGACAGAGGACGCGTTTGTGTTACGAGAATCCGATGACGGCAACGTACGAAACGGTATACGTCGCACCACTTACAGTGCTCCCTCTTGCCTCGGGAAAGAATTCTGAAATGTTTGAATCGGCTCTCGGAGTACTTGGCAACATATCCGAAAACACGATTTCGCACCCTGAGGCGCCACGTGTTCTATTATACCCTGTGGGCCGTCAGCAAACCATGTGTCGATCGGGAACCTCGAACACTATTTCAACCGGAACTCGGCCAAAAACGTTGTTCGTGACTGCCGATCGATACCTAAGGCTCGTCCGCGAGCGCTTACAAAAGGAGACGAGGACTACGGCCTCTTTCACGTAAGCCACCGGGGCTGGAAATCAATTTCGGGAAGGGCTTGACCGTAGCTGTTATCCGTATATGCACGAGACTACGGGAGTGCACCGAGCAACGTTGACTGTCTATGTTTGTAGGTAATTATTTTAAACACGCAAGAATATTACATTAATTTATTTGACGTAAACGTACAACGTTTTATTGATCATTTTGAAATATTTATTTTACCAGGATATGATATAACCCAAAAAAATTTCGGGAGGGATAGACCCTCTAGGTTCGGACTTAAGTGCCACCACATGATGATAGTAATAAAATTAGTCTTTCCACACGTGGTAAGCGCCGTCATCGAGTAGCCATTCATAGAACTTTGCGCAACCGGAATAGTGGCGCCACCATAGGCGTAACTAGGGTGCACAATAGGGTTTTTAGCACCTCTGAGTTCAAATGTAGCACTCCTGTTTTTTTTTTTCAGATCTATATAATCTAAAATAATTACATTTAAATAACATTTAATTTAATTTTCAGCAATTTCAGCACCCCCAATATTTGAGCTTTATTTGCGCGACCTGAATAGAGGCGCCACCACATGAATGTTCATTGTTCGTGCATAAAAACACGGAATCTTTGACCTATTGGCAGTGGCGCGTTTCTCCTTAAGGTTACGTCTAAATTTTCGACGGGTGAGTTACACTCCCTCATATTCATCTGTTGACCCGTTAAATATTGCCGTTCCGTCAATTCGGTAAATTAATCAATGGAAATTCTTAAATAATTAAAAAAAAAAACTTGTCTTCGTACTTTATTAAATAGTTTTAAAACAAATTGAACAATCCTTTGGCGGAACAATCGGACAGTAATGGATGTACCCGAAACTTCCTGTTTAATTGTTTTTCGTCTGTGTTGTCGATACAGATACAGATATGCTTTACACGAGCTAGTAGTTTTGACTTACATTTCGGCGCACTGAACCGAAAGAACGTCCGAAACGTAGAAGAAGCGCTTCTAGTAGCACTTAGTCGTGGCGGTAGTCGTATCGGGACAGTGCGCCATTAAACACGGGTTCGAAGTTCGGAATACGGTGCGCGGGCGAAAAAAAAAAATCTAAGGCGCCACAAAGTTTTGGGAAAGAGTCGCAGGCTCTTCTCGTCGACCTGTTCAAAATAATTCAAAAATCGTTTCGAGTATATGCAACATTTATTTTATTAAACTTAATTAGCTACAGCCAACACAAAAATAGTTCAGTGATCCAAAAGCATCAAACGGTTTCCATACGTTTTCTTCTTATCTTCTATATTTACAGTAGGTACATAATTGGTTTTGGAACGGAACACTTCGCGACACATTAAATATCGGGGCAACGCGTTACATTGCCGGCGAACGCAGTACGCGCGGTAACGTACGCGTGCCGGAAAAAAAAAAACGATCGAAGCTGTTCCGCAACGCGCATATTATCTCGGGAGTAGAGCGTACGATATTAATAATTATTACAACAACAACGATAAGCTTTATATAACGGAAAAGGAAAAACAATTCGACGGCGTTGCGGCAGACGAATTATTTTTTCCGTCTGTTCGCAGAAATCCGTGCGTGACCGCACTCCGAAGTCGGGTCCGACTCACCGGACACCATCGGTGAGTACATCGATTATATTTACATACACGTACACATTTATATTACACGCCGTTACACGTATTGCGTACGATTGGGTCCGCGATATTTTATTGATTTTTTTCCTACGTCCGGACGTCCAAAACGATCGCGATCAGTGCACCGTTTGAATCGATACCGGGGGCGCCTGGGTCTTGGCGACCGTCGGGAATCGTGATCTTCCGACCTGAACAGCGGTCGTACGCAATAATATCGTCCGGTGCACCTCCGCGCGGACGAAGAGATACGCAATCGAAACGGTAAAAATGTAAAAATAATAACGCAAACGAACATGTAAGAGATTTTAAACGTTTTAGAGGGTTATTCATTGGAAAATGTACAACGGGAGCACGATCACAGTAGACATCCAGTCTGTTGATGAGCGAATACCTAAACCGACGGATAGAGATATTCATTTATACAAAAAGAAAGGAAAACGATAAAAAAAAAAAACAGGGGAAACAATAGGAAACAAAAAGACATTTCAATAAATTTTATAACACGTGATGTGATTAATTATTTTCTTCTTATTTCCGCGTCATCGTTGCGATCGTTCAGCCGATGGCCGTGGCCCAGACCGCGGTCAACGCGGCCACCGTGACGATGTGCATGTGCTTCGGACACGCCGATGACCTGGCCACTTTGTTTTTCGAACTCTTCCCGATTGGTATATCGCCTTGTAGCTCTGGAAGAAGAAAAAAAAAATGTAAATGTTTTACGATGTATTTTTTTTTTTTTCATACGGTAATCCGTTCGATCGGAACTCGGTGTTGCATTATTAGTCATTAGTAATTACGTCATTACGTGTCGGGCTTTGTTAAAAGGTTTGTTTCATAGGCTTGCGCATGGGATGTGCAGGGTGTGCAGCTGCACACCCAGCAAAAATGTGTGCCTACTTTAAATTGTTGATGAAACATTGTTTAATTATATAAAACTGATTATTGAGAGTTGGTATAATTTATTCTGTATCATATTATATATATATATATAACATTATTATATATAATCAGTGTTGTGCTTAGATAAAAAAAATTATCTAGATACAGATAAGATATCTGGATTTAAAATTATCTAGATATAGATAGTTAAAATAATTTTTATCTAGATATTTATATAAGGCATCTACGTTTTTATCCGTTTGTAGGCGAACTCTTTTGGTCTTGGGTAATGATTGTATTATGTAACGATCCATTTCAAAATATAAAATATTTCACTAATAAAACAAAATTGAAAGTCATAGACAAAATTATGAAAAATATGAAGACGGTCTGATGATAAACACTGAACACGTGATTGAGAATGCGCTGCGTACAGTACAAGATTTTAATAAATAACGTACGTTTCACACCTAATATTTATTTTGTTGTACAATAATATTGTATAGACACATCAAAGTATGAATTCACAGAATTGGGGTTCGGTAATGACAATTATTTAGATCACATGATTACATGATCAATGGACATAATTTATATATAAATATTGAATTTAAGGCGGTCGAATGATGACGGAGAACGATCAGTTTCTGTGTAGGTACAGCGTAATGCTTATTGTAATATTGCTATTTTCTTATCGACAATTATTTCTGTATTTTAGTATTTATAAACCATCTACAGCGCAGCTGCAATAATAACCAGTTTAGACCTATGGTGCGTTATCTCTGGTTCTAATATTGGCTGTATGACATAAGCGCCAATCTAATATTGTTACCTGTTATACCCTACATAAAACATAAACGCCAAAGGTGCAAAAGTGACATAGTATTTGCGCCAAGATTAATATTTTATATAAGTAGGTAGTTATTTAAAAATTAAAAAAAAAAAATTGAAAAAAATGTCGATAATAAATTATAATATACATGCAAATCAATATAAAGTTAATAAATCCGTTGCTATTTTATAAAAAAATTTCAATAATAAATTATAATATACATGCACAGTGCCGTCGCAAGTTTTTGCGAGGCCTTAGGAAAAATCAGTACAATTTCCTTACATCCAGTACCGAATCTAGGAAATTTGAGGATCGGGGCTAATTAAAATGCAGCGTCCTTATGATGATGGATATATGGATATATGTATGTTCATGCCATTTTTTATTTTCCGTTAATTTAAAAGCGCCCTCATACTAACTGCGCCTGGGACAAGCATACTCACTTATCCCTCCTAGATCCGACATTGCTTACAACTAAGTATATTTAACTATTCTAATTTGACAAATTTGTGGGCTCCCAAATTTATTTTAAGTGCGAGGCTCTAGGCAATTGCCTAAGTTGCCTGCTCGTTAACGACGGCACTGTACATGCAAATCAATATTAAGTTAATAAATCCGTTGCTATTTTATAAAAAAAATTTCGATAGTAAATTATAATATACATGCACATCAATATAAAGTATAATATAACGATATAACGAAATAGGTACTAATAATAAATATGTTATAATTCAAAACTTGCTCACACACTGTCTATATGATAATCTATCGTAATCATATAATACATTTGTCAATTAAGATTAAGCGTTTGGAGTTTTTGAACGATATAGTTCTAAATTTAATACCTGTTATTTAATTTATAGATATCTAGGATTTTGACGCTTTTGTACGATACGACTTTTTTTTTTCTTATCTCATTTTGGCGCTTATGTCTTCCACCGCTAATAGTCTAGTAAATGCTCTTTCGCCGTTCGTAATACCACAGAACAATAGTAATACGGGCATGAGACTTCCCCGTATAGGCCATATTATGAAATTATTAATAATTCTCATTATATAGGTAATATATGTCTATATACATAATAAATTGTCATTGTTCATAATTAATAATAAATGATATGTAAAACTATTTTAGAACCAATTTTTGCAAGTAAATATACACATGAAATTTCTTATTTAGTTATTTATATTATATTGAATGATAAAATTGCAGATTAGTTATTACTAATGATTAGCTACAGATTTTGTGAATTATTTAGATGGCTATGATTTTTATCTAGATGAAAATTAGATGTCAATTTTATTTTTTATCTAGATAAGATAACGATATGAAGTTTTTATCTAGTTAACATATCTAGATAAATTTATCTAAAACACAACACTGTGTATAATGCACAATTGTCAATTACACACATAATAATCCGTTCGAGATAATGCAATACTTCATAGTAATAATAAATCTAATATCGATTGTAGTATTATTTGGTATTACGTTTATGACCGTGGTTATAGATTTAACTACGAATTGGGGTACAAGAATTTTTGATTGATAGTGTTTTCCTCCAATTTTTTGTGTTTTCACATCAGTTATCTGGTATTCTGGTTCTCAATTAATAAAATAATAACGATTAATATCATAGACATGTCAATTTTGTTCTGTGCTATGATTAATATACTGAATCTTAATTCTTAAATCGTAATACTTGAAATTATATTATAATTGGCAGTGATGTATTGCTAAAATAAATCATGGGTATACGCCTTATTTCATGTAGTAACTATCGTATGGTAGGAACCAAAAAAACTCACTCATAAACTACACATCCTTAATTATGACTGTTTAATAACAGAAATTTGTTGTAAAATGATAACAAATTTGAATTTTTCATTGAAAAGAAAAAAGAAAAATAATAATAATATATCTGATACCGAATCACGTCATAAATATAACCATAAGCAAGGCCGTATCTAGAAATTTTTTTCGGGAGGGGTCCAAAACATGTATATTGTAATTTTATTTAATTAAGATGTTAACTTTTGATATTTGGTTAAAAATAAGACAGAAAAAGATTTAATCTTCTTTTATATATTTTCATATATTATGATATTAAATTAAAAGCAGTCAATGATTAATGGGAGCTTAAGTCATTTTTGACTGAAAATAATTATGTTGGTATTAAAAATAAATAAGTATTTTAAACATTCTTAAAATATTGAAGAAATTTCGGGGGGAGTCTAAACATCCTGGACCCCCCCCCCCCAGATACGGCCTTGACCATAAGTTAGGCTAGTCAAGGTATTATGTAGTTATTTGTCAAATTACAAGCTATACACTATATACGACCGTATACCCTGGTATCATCAATTTTTCATAAGCCCGGTTTCAAAATTTTACTCGATAAAATATTAAGAAAATTGAAAACCTTGTAACTTGAGGACGAGGGATTATCAATAGAACTAATTTTGAAAGTTAATGTGATGAATTTTATGTACTTTTGTTACAACTACTTAAAAAAATTGAACAATTCAAATCAACATGTAACTAATTTAAAATCAATGTTATAGATAACATTAGCTATAAAGACAATAGTAAATTGGGAAAATGTCAAAAAATCAGTAATCTTTATAAAAGCTAGAATGTCAAACAAATTTAATTTTGATGAATAAATTTTTTTCGAATAATTCAAAATGTTTGAAAAAATTAATCAACAAAATAACGAGTGGCATTGTCAAAAAATAGAAAATAAATGGATGTATATTTTCAAAATATTCACTGATAACAATCATGCATTTTCTGAGGTATTAAAAGCTGTTGAATTTATTTTTGTTTTGTCAGATTCAAATGCACGGATGAACAGCACACGGACAAATTCAAGATAATAACTAGATATAAAAACGTTATATTATAAAAACGTGCTTCAATAATACATCTTATGAAGAATTTTACGACCAAAGTTTGGGAAACAAGTCTTTATTAAAACAAGTTTATGGATCAGTCAAATATGTAGTAAAATCAACAGAAGAAACTCTGCACCCCAAAAGATTCGAAGACTAAGAATATGAATTATTATGATTATTATTATTATTTTGCTTCTATACATATTTCATTAAAAAAAAAATATATATATATATATAAATAAATATATATATAAAAATTTCGTGTCACGATGTATGTTCGCGATAATCTCCGAAACTACAGGACCGATTTTGATGAAATTTTTTACACCGTGTGTAATTTGGTCCAACTTAAAATATAGGATAGTTTTTTTTCAAATTTTTTAATATTTTAAATATTTTAATTAACTTTTTAATAAATGTGTATAATTGCATGGTGTATTTCGGTGTATTTCTATCACCGGAAACATCGATGAAAATTTAAACGCCAATGACATCATAACTGCATGTATTTTACCTTCAAGCTACATCGGCAGTCCACGGAGCATGCAGGAATACATACAAGATGCGATGACTTATGTACGTCATTACGGTCGACCTGATTTGTTTGTTACATTTACGTGTAATCCAAATTGGGAAGAAATAAAAAGTTTGTTATTACCAGGCCAACAATCAATACATCGTCACGATATCGTTACACGTGTGTTTAAACAAAAGTTAAAATCTTTAATTAATTTAATCGTAAAATATTCAGTTTTTGGTAACACACGTTGCTGGCTGTATTCTATTGAGTGGCAAAAGCGAGGTTTGCCTCATTCTCATATTTTGGTTTGGCTTGAAGTTAATCGCGCCGTCTCGAGTTTTGTTTGTTATTTTTATTTATACAGCTTAATTTGTACCGGTTTAGTGTTTTCGTATTTTACTTTACCTACACACTAACCATAAATACTTGGTATTGTGTTATTATTGTGCAGTGTTCAGTATTGAATATTCTTTAATTTTTTTTAAATTTAGTATAATGCTGCGGAAATCTAACCTACACAATCAGTATAGTAAAAACACAATCAGTATAGTTTGTTT